CAGCACATCAGCAGCACGTTTACGGCCAAATGTTTTGGTTTGCCTTCTCCATTAAACTTGGAATTGGCTTATCTACATCAGTTTTCGCGAGCGCGCGAGCTCGAGCGAGCTTCTTGCCCGCGGTTATTACGGCGGCTCGAGCCCCAAAGCGCGATGTCAGCTCGGTCATTTATTTTCACTCGTTTGGGCTGCTGCGCTGCTGCGCTGTTGCGCGCGTAAGAAATCAATCAACGTGAGTACACCCGGAAGAAAGCGAGCTTGTAATTAGAGTCGCGAGGACGCATCGAAGCGGCGAAAGGCCCGCTCTCGAATAGCGTTTCGCATGTAGCGACAGAAAGCTTGCTCGCGCAATTGTTTCCGCCTCGAGCAATTCCCCTTGAACTTGGCTGGAATCCCTGCGGGATATGGCGTGTGCTTTTCTCGCGAGGCCAAGTGTCGTCGTCGTCGTCGTCGTCGTCGTCGTCGTCGTCGTAGTCGTAGTCGTCGTCCTCGTCGTCCTCGTCGTTGGCGTTCGAGTAATCCCCCCGCGATTTTCGCTCGCGGAAATAAACAATAAAGTACAGAGAGCAGCAATCCCCGAGCCGAGCTTCGGCAAGTGGGTCGCACGCGAGGCCTTTAACCGTTGTGCGCCCGTTCTTTTCTCTTCTTCCTTGCTGTGCCGCGCGGCGCAAGAGTTTGAGACCTGGCCAAGGCACTTCTAATCAAGCTGCTGACGCACTTGCGAGCAATTTCCAGTGGACTCGACGACTTGCCGCGCACATTCTGTTTCTTGCTCGTGTTCAAACGCTGAGATTACCCATTCGGCGAGCCCTTCGTCCCAACTTGCCAGACGCTCTTCCCATTGAATCAGACTGTGTTCGTTGTTATTTTTTTAACGACCCTAGCTGTTCGCAAACTGCACCGTGGAAGCCGACGAAGAAAGCGAAACAATCAAATTTCATTTCATTGAATACATGCAAAATTGAAATGACATTTCATTTACTTTACGATTAATTGATGTACTTTGTAATGAGCTCCGATTGAGGTTCTCGCTCATCGTCATTAAAATTAATCGCGCACAGGGCACCCATACAACGGCGAGCGCCGTAGAAAAAAATTGGTACAACCGGATATGAAACGGATCGAAACACCGAGCGTGCCAGTATCGAGGAGCGTAATGTTAATTAAAACTGCAACGACTTTCGATAAATCAGCTTTGCTCCAAAAGAATAACGGTGATTACGACGAGGAAATCTAAAGAGGGAGTTTTATCCAACGCGAAAACTCGACACTTGATTAATACCCTCCTGAGAAATAAGTAAGCGAATGGCATCGTCGCCCACAACTTTTCCTTTTCCTCTCTCGTCTTGTGCTTGCATTACCGACATTTCCTTTTTCACCTAGCCGTCTCCCATTTCCTATTTTCTTTTACCCCTCCCGCTTCCTTTTATGTCTTTGCCGTAGTCGCCAACCCTACCGCCCGTCTATTTACCTTTGTTAGCGTTCCTCCTCCTACGTCTTTTTTTTTCGTTCGTTTTTTTTCTTCTTTCGCTCCGATTATTCCATTTTCTTCACCACTTTTTTCCCGTCGTCGGAATTTCTACGGCGTCTTTCCTCTTTTGCGCCAATTGCGTTGCGCTCTTTTTCACTTTGTTTGCCTGCTGCTGAGCTCGTGGTGGCTCGGGAAAGAATATATGCGCCACGTTACGTCGCGGTCGAGGCGACAAAGGGGATTTCCCCTTAAAAAGTACTTTAGCGTTGTCTCTGCTCGCTTTGCGAGCCATTCAAATTGGCTTACGTTGGAAAATACAAAGTTATCCGAAACTTTAATTACCTCGCGGATGTTTCAAGCTTCTTTCTTTTTTCTACCTCGATTGTCAAGAATGTTGATTTTTTGTCTGAGAAATGAGTTTGAACAAAGGTAGTGCCATTCACTTTGATGACCGTAATTCTCTCATGCCAACTACTTGAATTATGTTTAATCTGTACGATTAATTAGTTGCAATAAAGGAGAGAGGCAAGGGTAAGTTAATTGAAGCAGGTGGATGTGTGAGGTTGTAAATAAAAGTTATTTAATAACAGAAAGATACAGAGAGTTGAACTTATAACTAAAAAGAAAATCTACTATCTGCTATGCTACTTACAGATTGCTCGCATAGCCTTTAAACCACTAAACGATACCTTACATGAATGGCCATTCACTAAACAACGCTGACCGAGCGATGCCGCATGCACGACTCGTGCGAGAAGGAAGACGTCTCCTGGAGGAGACGGGCACGGCCCGCACTGCGCAACTCCTAGTGTTCGAGGTGGGCCGAGTGCCGCTGATCGGGCTGCCCAGGGTTTGGAAACGTCTCAGAGAGTACCGCACGTACTCTCAGCTAGGCCGATGGTTGCCTTAGCCCTTTTGAAGCGGTCGCAGGCGAAGGGGAGAAAGAGACACACACACGTACCAGTTGCTCGATGCAACTCAATAATAACACTTATAACTAAGGCGCGCGGAATACAGCGCCTGAACAGAACAATGAAAACGCACAACTATAGTAACTAACTACACGCAACGATCTACACTCGATGCAGAGTGAGGAAGAACTCTGCCTCATCAAGCCGTCGACCCATAGAGCCGAAAAACTGGCACGATATGGCCTCATCAGGGCCAGCCAATCAGGGAGACTCAAACAAAGAGAGAGAAACAAAAAACGCCCCTCCTTATCTTGGCCTTGAGAGCGAGGCTGAACAGCAACCGGGTAATTCCACTATGCGTCAGTGTGGCCCACGATCGCCGGCGTGCAATTGGATGCTCGAGTGTGACCGCGCTCAACGCGTGAGCCACAAACCGTCGCATTCGTCCACGGTTTGGGTCTTCCACCTATCCAGACGTGTCAAGACGCAAAAGAAAGCGAGACCACGCACATACACTCAAAAAAAATGAACGTCCGCTCCTGCGTCGTTAGGAGCGCAGAATGCCGCGAACAAATTATTTATCTAAAGTATTCAATTAGGTCAATTTTCTAGAAAGTCATTTATTATTATTTTACTTTGTAGAGGCAAACAGTTCGTTGTACCAAGTTTCTCTCTCTTTCGCTTTTATTATTTTCAATGACACAAAATGTAAATTCAAGGTTAGGCAAATAAGCAAACTACTGATAAAAGCGAAAAGTGTAATGAGTCATCGTTAAAATTTTCCTCGAAAATTTGCGGCATGTGATATATTAAAAGCAAAGCCTAACGAGTTAATCATAAAGTCATTCGATCTGGAATAATACGCGCGCATTGCATTAAAATCCAATCCGGCGAACAAATTTTTGGTCGTAACAAAAAGCAATCAGCGAAAGCAAAATGATAATACCCGTGTGTGCAGGCGCGAGCATGCGATACGTCATATTCGGGCGAATCTCCGAATGAGCAGAGAGAGAGAGAGAGAGAGAGAGAGAGAGAGAGAGAGAGAGAGAGAGAGAGATGACGTCGATTTGCATGATCCGATCGGCGAACCGCAATAAACGCGCTCGAACTTTCGCTAATCCCGGGCATTTTTCCTCGCGCTCGGGGCTTTCCAATAATTGGATTCCGCCGCCACCACGGCCGCGAGACCGACGCATCCCGGAAGTGGCGTCGAGCTTACGTCGATTGTTAAATAGGATACGACGGGGACGAGGACTACTGCATACTCTTCCTTTCTTTCGCAAAACTCGCGGAGAAATGGATCAGCTGCTTCGACAAGTAAAATTGCAATAGAAAGAGGTATTATTTCAATAAACAGTGACGTCGAGATTAACGAAGGCTTTTCGAATTGGATAGCGCACTGAAAATGATAAACGAGCGTCTAAGTGATATCGGACAGCTCGGGATGAAAAGCTACCGTCCGTTAAAAGTAATGGAACTTATGGTTAATCGATGCGTGAAAATGTAAAATGGCGTGGTTTAGTTTGACTATATCGGCAGAAACTGGTGCGCACAAACGGTTTAGAAAACGTGTGACCCATCCATCACAGCATCCCACAGCGCACAACCGCTAATCGCGACACTCTATTTCGATCGGACGAATGTGTGTGTGCGTATGTGTGTCCCATGCCAGTAGCAACATGAAAGTGTCTCTCTTTGCTTTGTCTGACCACATGGAAATTGCGTCGCTGTGCGCGCCTTACTACTCGCTGAATTTAAATTCGGAAAATAAGCTGAGAATACTGTCTACGTGTATGCACACAGAACCAACCAATGCATGCATATGCGAGTGCACGCACCTCCATACTTATTTGCATTTTACGCGTGATCTTGCGCGCACGACCACGTTGAACTTGAATCCCTCTCTTGTTTTATACACCCCTCGCGTGCCTGCATGCATATGTATATTTTGCGAGCGAGTGCGAAAAAAAAAAAAGAAATAAACAAGATACTCGTATAGCGCAAGATACGTCGTAGCGCAGTCGAAAGTTATTCATGGCTCCTTTAGCATATGCAAGCATAATTTGCGCGTGCGTTCGTTAATTTTCGCGGACGTTGCGCGTGTAAAAGTCATCGCGTTGAACCGCGAGAGAAAAAAGGAACAAAATTCAAATGAAAATTGAGCCAAATGTACGCTGATTCAAACAAATTTCGTGCGCGGGGTAAAAAAGTTAGCTTGCGCACGATGAACGGGACGCGCGTTTACATGCAATCGCTGATGCACCCGCGCACCCCGTCGTACGTGCGAAAGTAGTGGGTGCGCGCACGCGCGCGTATGTGTACGAAACAGTGTCATTCCCATGCAAATGAGAGCCGAGGGGGAGCTCTTTCTATCACCCGCCATTAGGTTTTGAATTGCACTTCAATGTAAAAGGGAACTCTGCAGCGGCGCATGTTTGCGAGGGTCGCGTTGTTGCAATTTTTTTTTTATCAAGCTTCATTCAGCCATGAACTACATAGGTAACGTTCATTATCTACAATACTTTTTGGTTTTCGGTGATCAATAACACCAAGAAAATGTCACATTCCGGTAGAAATAGTAAACTTCTGATTGATGCTACTTTTTGTACAATATTTACCTTCAATCAATTGATCAAGCATTGCGTAGATGTGGGAGGTCGCCTCATCCGTCATAACCCATCCTCCAGTTGTCATTTCTAACCGACCTTCTTTCACTAGTCTTTTAACAATCATCTTTTTGGTGGGGTGTGCGCTGGAATGACACAAAAAGTACCGTATTTACCGTAGTATTTTTGTATTCAAAATGGGAATTCCGCTATGAAATAATTCGCTATTATTGTTGAAATTCTCGCGTAAATTTGTGCGGAATAACAACGTGAAACTAACAATCGTAATTACGTTTAATAGTTCTCCAAAGCACACGCACAAGCTGCATAAATTGCCCAGAGCAGCTTTGCTATATGTAGGATCAAATGTTACGAGGGGCAACTGTGTGAAGAGGGACTTGATTAGAACAGCAGCGGTACAAATATTTGTTTGAATACCAGTTTAATTTTCAATAAACTTGTAATATTACCGAAATCAATGTGCCATAGCTGTGGACGATTTTTCAAACAATAAAGCTAATTTAGGACGCTACTTGATTTATTATCATTCGCGTCGAGATAATTGAATACACTGACGAAATACAATCTACATCTTTTTAATCAACATTGCTTTCTTATTGAATGCGCTTGAATTTTAGATTTCAACTTATATATATATATATTTACAGTGGTTACCTACCTTTCCCACCACAACGATAAAAAAGATACTTCGCTCCATATAAAAGTCATGTTCTGCCATTGCTGCAGTTTCGTCACCATGTTGTTTAAAATGCTTCGAGTAGCGCTGTGGAAGTATTGCTCGAACGTTTTCAACCATCCTGGGTCTGTATGACTATGTGGAACTAATATAACCTGAAACAAAAATAAAATTACATCGGTTAAAGAACTTTTCTTAATTTTATGGTGAAAATACAATAAATTCATTTTAAATTAGTAAAATCGACGCATACTCCAGCTGCAATAACAATTACTTTGTTATTTAATTATTTATAGCTTCGAGAAAAGAGAAACATTTTTTTAGTTTTTTTATGTTGACGACCAATTTACGTTTACTTCCTGATCGACGCTATGGTAGGAAGAAACAACTGTGGCCTGGGCGTAGAGTAATGTTTACTATGCCATGTAGTAAAATTTATCAAAAGTTGTAATTTTTATTATAGATGTAATAACTTTTATAACTCTCTGCTATAATGCACATCTATTTTTATGAAATGTCAACATGCACTATGTATTCTACTAATTTGTATTGTAACATTACATTAATTTATAAAGAGTACGTCATGATCGTTGAAAATGTAGCACTTTATATTGTTGCCCGAATATGCCCCACTTTATGGAAATATAACGATTTATAGTAATTCATAGTTTTAGGTAGACGTATAATACAGGAATCAATATCGCATTTGCTTCGTTTACGCGTGCATGCAAAGCAGTAATTCGGGCTAATGTTCATAACGAAATGCTACCGAAATATCAAAGCTGGTTAGAATGAGCATTAGTGTATAAAAACCACGATCCAGTTCGAGTACCGTCAATAAGAGGCAACGATACATTCACGATGCGATTTGTCATCACGCGGCTTTGATGAACATTATTACGTAAACAATAGCAATATTCGATTAATAATTATTAGTTCATGTTATTATTATTAATGTTATTAATAATAATAACATGAACAGTGACAGACAATGTGAACGTAATACACTAGTAATGATCGTATTCTGTACTTATTTATTAAATTATAATTATTACAATGTTTTAATACTTTGTAGGTTTGTCTTGTTTGATTGCTCGTAAACGAATGATCGATAGCCGTTGTTTGCTCAGCCTATTCCCTAGTTCTGCTCGTTTATTTTATGTTTATTTATTACTATAGTAACTAGTTCATTATAACTAATTTTTATATGAACAATTCAACTATTTCGAATCTATACTTATCACGGCATTCCGTCTGCAGGAAGACCACTTTGTCTACCTGCTGCGTGCCTCGCCATTTACCGCACACCAACGTGTGCGAGGGTGAGAAAATCTGCCCTCGGTCTTGAATGCCCGCCACAATGCCAAGTCATGGTATATTTTTAATAATGTAACTCAGAATATAAAAAACTATAACAGAGAGTGAAACAAAGGTATGTTCTATTCGGAACAGACCGACTGAACTGTCGGTATTTATTTAGCGAATCGTGTATATATACGTGAATATTGAGTTGGAATGTTAATTAATCGGTGGAACGCCGACTACACGGCTCATACCAAGTTGAGAATCAACATCTAAGGCTTTCGCAGCAAATCGATAACTGCTCGCTCTTAATCATCCTCAAAGACAGGGATCTGCTTTGCTCCAAGCCACTTGCCCGCTGCTCTCACATTAATTTACTTTGAGCCCGCCGCAAACTACTGGCATCAACCACACGCTCCGATCGATATGCTCAATGCGCTATTGAGCTATTATCAATTAATTTCAGGATGAGGTACGCAATAATTCATCCACGCCGTCAAGTTCTGTCAGACATGAAGTAAATCAGAAGCTCGAGAATGAATATAGAATGAACGAACGAATTCACGAAGGTTACGCCTACGGGCCTTAGCGACGGATGTCTAGTGGAAAAGTGAAAATTCTACAACGCACAGTTCAAGTAACGTTCAGAAGCTCCGTGACGATAATAATGAACCAAGTCGTTTTCAATTTATTCGTTCGTAAATCACGAAAAATTTTCGATGTATTGCACTGTTGGCGTCTACGGCAATGTCGGTTCTTCCGTTCGAGTCGTTTAGTAAGTCCGCGACATTTCCGGCTATCTTTAGATGGCATTCTTGCTCCACGATCGGATGTGAACAGCCCGTATATCGTGCTAAAAAGTTTATCAGACTGACGCGTCAGTATCTCAGCGCGCGGACGCTGCTGTGATTCCTAAAATGTTCAACAGTTGCGGTCGTAAAAGTTTAGGAATCCGGGGGGGCCAAACTTCTGTAACTGCGAATCCCAACTACTTTGAAATACGTCTGAAATGACGCCATCATTCCTAATTCTGATAAAGTTGGCTTGGTTGTTAGCTGGCCGAGTGCCCGCGCTTGGATAAAATAGCCTCTAATGATATCTAAGTGATTGATGACGCTCACGCAGTTATCTGCAATCAGACACCTTCACCAGGTTATCATTTGACAGTGGAAGGGCCGCTAAAGATGAGCTTGCAAGCCTGCAATACAGAGTTGTTCGTGGCTCAGCGCCAAAGTTTCTTTTGAAAATTGAAGGAAGATCGCGTTTGAGACGCACCAAGCACCCGCAGCGCAATGGCATGGATAGGAAAAGCTGCTTTGCCGATAAGCACTCGCTCATAATCAAGCCGAGGAGGCCGCGCTGCAGCGCTTGCAAGCCTCGCGTACTACGACTCCGCATAGCTTGCCGCGTGCTTCTCTCGCGCTTCTCTTCCTCTTACGTCGTAAAAATCAAAGTGCCGCTGGATAAGGGCTTCTTTCCGCGCTCGCTCGCATGCAAAATCCAAAGCTGAGGGATCAATCGACATTTCCCCCGGAAAAATGCAGCCGCGTCATTCTTTTACGTTTGAAAGGCAAAAGCTCCCCGTAGGCCTTTTCACAGCGGAAAAGACTACTATTCTTTGCTGACATTTTTATTTTGAGCGAGGTTTATGGTATTTTTGTTTAACGTAATTTTTTCGTTGCATAAGATATTGTCAAAAAATTAATGAATCGTCGATGAAAACACCGACAGACACCAAGATAGATGAATATTATTCGATTAGTTAGAGGTTTTAATTTGTACCTTAAATATCTAACGAAAAAATAATTAGCAATACAGTAGAGAAATTCATTATTATAACAACGATGTACTCAAAGACAAACTTTCATTTGTTCTAAATTTCATATTATCCCTAATTGGAAACAAGAGTAACTGTACGCGCGGTTATAAAAAGAAATATGAGAAGCGGTAATGTATTCCTGCAACGAACAACGCATAAGAAGACAACAAAGAGGAGAAGAGAAAGAGGAAAAAATTGGCGTTAAAAGCAGCGTGTTGAGCTAGGTAGCCGCGTAAAACGATAACTTATAATACGCGAGTGCCAACTCAAAGCACTTCCCAAGCCAAGCTCGCTCTCGCGCGCTTGCGATATAAATTCTTCGAACTTGCCAGCGACGCGAACACGGAGAGAGAGAGAGAGAGAGAGAGAGAAAGAGAGGCCATTATCTAGGAGCATAAAGTATATGCGCGGGGGAGGCTAACAGGATACTGCCTGGGGAAGAACGGAACACAAAACGCCCAGCCGCACATGCATTCGGCTCCGGTTGAAACGACTCGTAAAAGGACGCGGATTTTTTTCACCCCTACCTCTCTCGCAAAAGGCTCCGCGTAGCGCGCGATATGCGTCAAAGCCAGCGGCATCCGACCGACTGGTAGTCGCGCGCAAGCAAGCTTAAGCTTCTAATTTAACTGCCTCCCAGAAGCTTTTTTCTCGTACCTCTTCAAACTAATAATACCCTTTGTGCGTCGTTTCGCATTGAAACACTTGAGCGTGCACTTGTCAAGCTTACTTTATTGCCGAATTCGTATAAATGTTCGAGAATCTCGCAGGAGCTTTAACGACGACAAACACGAGACATTATGCGTAAAAGCGAGCTCCAAACGAAAAACGTAAAATAAGACTGGAGCTTCCGAAGAATCCATCCTTTCGTCGCAACGATGCCTGGACACATGCTGCGGCATGCGGAAGGCCGGCGGATATGGACGGCCGGATCGATTGGCAGTATCCTATCTCTCGCTAGCGCACATGACCATCAACACCACGACGGCGAGCGAAGACGGGCTCGTGGATCGCACGCCGCCAAGTTTGCATGAGTGATGATCGTAAAAACTAGCTGACCAAGCTGACGCCTTTAGTTCGATGCGCGTCGTGCTCGTCCGATAAGCACTGATCACCTCATGTGTTTATTGACGATTTTATCGCCACTTGTTTCATCTCTTCAATTTTCGACATTTTTCACTACGTCAGTTTCAGTTTGGTTTATTGAAAATATATCGACTTATCACATAAGTGCATGGCAAACAAACATTTACTTTTAGATAGATATATGATTTCATGTATAACTCACCACAAACGAAGGTTAGACCCAAATGAAAGTTTGAATAAAAATAATGTCTTTTAATTGCTATAATAATTTTATTACTTGGAAAATTACAGCAAATAAACTAATTTAGTTAATAAAAGTTTACTTTTTTTGTTTTTTTAAAGTAGTTGTTATCTACTAATCGTTAAGCCTTTTTCATTCGTTTAAGCTTGAGCTTCAGTCTCAGTCTGACAATTATGCAATTTTAAATTTCGTAAACTCAATCACAATTATCCACGTTACGCAATAAATAAAAATAAAACTGTAATCACATCAATGGGAAAATTAATAAATAAGGATTTTAGCGGAAGAATAAATAATTTAAATAAATCATGGTCACTTTTATCTATTTTCATCAAAATAATTTATGCACTTCAGTTACCTTGGCAAAATACTCATTTAAATGTTAATTCAACGAGAAGATATTCTTTTACTAAAGGTAAGCTGTTAACATCGTTAATTTATTGACTTCGCTCAAACGGAGAAATTGATATTTTCCCTGCGCTTCATAAAATGCCAAATATAATCTTGTGAAACCTGAAATTCGCCAATCATTGCAATTTATTTTATTGATCAAATCAATGTTATGCTTTATACATATAAACTTTGAAACTTTAAATATTTGCACAAAGAACTTCATTCTATTTTTTTACTGCTTTTATTCGATCAGAACTGGTTTCACGACGTGCATTTACGCTATTATCAGATTTTTCAGGTATATAAGAACCGCA